GGTTATTAAGGCTGCTGAAGATGCAGATGTATACCATGACCTAGTGAGGTACCTTCTCATGGTTCGGCAGAAGACCAAAGAGCCCAAGGTGGATAGTGAGCTCATTTATGCTTATGCAAAGATTGATCGGCTTGGAGAAATTGAAGAGTTTATATTGATGCCAAATGTTGCTAATTTACCAAATGTTGGAGATCGCCTGTACGATGAGGCTCTCTATGAGGCTGCAAAAATTATATTTGCTTTTATTTCTAACTGGGCTAAGTTAGCTGTGACATTGGTGAAGCTTAAACAATTCCAAGGTGCTGTTGATGCTGCTAGAAAAGCAAACAGTTCAAAAACATGGAAGGAAGTTTGTTTTGCCTGCGTTGATGCTGAGGAATTCCGCTTAGCTCAGATTTGTGGTCTCAATGTCATTGTTCAGGTGACACACTTTTCTAGAATAAGTTGACATTTTTTAATTTCTTCTCTTGATAATCCAATGCCTCTCGCCTCACTCCAAATTTCAATATAAAGATTTACCCCTTATGACACACACACACGACTTATGTTTTGTTAGTTGGTAGTCTCATTATAATTTGCTTAGTCAGGTTCTGTTAAGATGTTGAGTCAGATTCTGTTATGTGAAGTTAGTTTTGATTTTACTAAAAATGTAACAAACCCAACCGACGCAGAGAAATTTTAACAATCATCGGATTTCATATCACAAACTCTCCAATATTCTCTCTTGTTATTTGCTCTCACTCTCTTCTACTATCTGTCGTTTTTTCACCTGAGCACGAATTCTATCATAGAGGATCTTGATATTAGTAAATGCTACAATGGCAGGTGAACTGTTGATTAGTTTATTATTCTATGTTTTTTGACTAGTAATCATTCTTTATTGTTACGAAGGTGGATGATTTGGAAGAGGTTAGTGAGTTTTATCAGAACAGAGGATGCTTCAATGAACTCATATCTCTAATGGAGAGTGGGCTTGGACTGGAGCGCGCACATATGGGTATCTTTACAGAGCTGGGAGTTCTTTATGCAAGATATCGTCCTGAGAAGTTGATGGAGCACATTAAGTTGTTCTCAACTCGGCTTAACATTCCCAAGCTTATTCGGGCCTGTGATGAACAGCAGCACTGGAAGGAACTTACATACCTGTACATCCAATATGATGAGTTTGATAATGCTGCAACCACTGTAATGAATCACTCTCCAGAAGCATGGGACCACATGCAATTCAAAGACGTTATAGTTAAAGTTGCAAGTGTGGAGCTCTACTATAAGGCTGTTCACTTCTACTTGCAAGAACATCCTGATATTATAAATGATCTTCTTAATGTGCTTGCCCTTCGTGTGGACCATGCCCGTGTTGTAGATATAATGCGGAAGGTCTGTATGTCTCATACTCTGTTGCTTAATGCCTGCAGTTTAATCTTTTTTGGTGAGGTAAATAGTTGGTTGTGAATGATTTTATGCAATAATCTTGTTTGTTGCTTGAATTTTCTGGTTTTTAGGCTGGCGACATTCGATTGGTTAAGCCATACATGGTTGCAGTTCAAAGCAATAATGTTTCTGCTGTCAATGAAGCTTTGAATGAAATTTACGTTGAGGAGGAGGACTATGATAGACTTCGTGAATCAATAGATCTGCATGACAACTTCGATCAGATAGGTCTTGCACAGAAGGTGAATCTCTCTTATCTTTTTGTCTTTTTTGGACAAATTGCTAAAATTGAGATCTGAATATTACTGGGAAACTTACAAAGTTTGAATGATTATTGATTGACTTTAACAATATATATAAACAGATTGAGAAGCATGAGCTTCTTGAAATGAGACGTGTTGCTGCTTATATTTACAAGAAAGCAGGAAGATGGAAGCAGTCCATTGCTTTGTCAAAGAAAGACAACCTTTACAAGGACTGTATGGAAACTTGCTCTCAATCTGGTGAACGAGAACTCGCAGAGGATTTACTTGTTTACTTTATTGAGCAGGCCTGTATTTTCTTATCCCTTTCCTTGAAAATATCAAACTCTGGCATTCATATATTAGATCCTTGCCGGGTTAGGTTGGCTCTTTTGCCATTGTGCAAGTTTGATTTCTGCTTCAATTTAAATACCTTTAACTCATTCTTTCTTTCTACACCTCACTATTGTTTTGTTCGTCATGCGTACTTCCTGCCCTTCTTTGGTCTTAAATTAACGAAGGAATGATATTCATATTATTCTCTTGGACTCTTTTACAGGGGAAGAAAGAGTGTTTTGCTTCTTGCCTCTTCGTCTGCTATGATGTGATACGGCCAGATGTTGCTCTTGAGCTAGCTTGGGTGAACAATATGATTGATTTTGCTTTCCCTTATCTCTTACAGGTATATTTTTCACTGAGATTTCTTTCGGTATATTTATTAATGTATGAATTTTCTTCCTTTTGTTGATAACCATTTTTCAAAAAAAAAAAAAAATTCTAGTTTATTCGAGAGTATTCTAGTAAGGTGGATGAACTTATCAAGGACAAAATTGAAGCAAAAAAGGAGGAGAAAGCTAAAGAGAATGAGGAGAAGGACATTATTGCTCAGCAGGTACCTTTTTTTTTTTTTTTTCTCAATTCCTTTTATAAGAAGAAGTCAGATTTTATCTTTTATTTGACAATTCAATTAATGTAATATTTTCAATGGTATCCAGAATATGTATGCCCAGTTGCTGCCACTTGCTTTGCCTGCACCACCAATGCCAGGAATGGGTGCAGGGTTTGTTCCCCCACCACCACATATGGGTGGAATTGGGATGCCGCCAATGCCCCCTTTTGGCATGCCTCCAATGGGCAGTGGCTCCTACTGATCTCTCTATTGAAGACAGGAGAGAATTTTGCCATAAAATTTTACTGGTGAAGCTAAATAGATTGTTTAGAATCATATGCATTGAAGATGAGTTTCGTAGGGTCAACGAATTTGACATGGTGGATGGTTAGCATCTGCCTTGTGTAGCCTTTCCAATGACTGCGGCTTTTTGCATTGAAAGTTTTAGGTTCTTATTTCTTATGTCTTCTCTCTCTACCCTCTAGTCCAAGGCTGAATATATTGGTTTGTTTGATCAGTCCTGTGAGAGAGATGGTCAAAGTGAACTTGGTTGCCGCATGTATAGTTGATTCTTTTTCACCTATTAATTGTTTTCTAGTTGTGTGTAGGATTCACAAATTTTATTCTTTTAACTTCGTATATAAACTTTTATCAATTATTCAACATTGTCTTAGTGGTTTATTTTATTTATTTATTTTGTTATTTCCTATTAACTTCCCATGTTAGCATGTTCTGAATATCCATTTTTGTTTGGGGAATTGAAGTTCGTAATTCATGGTAAGACCGTCAAATACCACTAAGAATCTTGTTTGGCATAAAACAAAATGAATATGAACCACTTCACTCGATCCTCTTCAAAGTTATGACACACTGTAATTAAAGTCGGAGACATTGATGACTCTCTCTCTCTCTCTCTATATATATAGAGAGAGAGAGAGAGAGTGAATGTGTGAGTGTTTATGCATTGCATTTTCTAAAAATATTATTTTCTTTTAAAAGACTTGAAATTACAAAAGTCTAATTTATATATAAGTTAATAATCTCTCTCTCTCTCTTATTTATCAAGTTCAATAACCATAATTTTAAGTGTATTATCCTTTTTAAAATTTGACATTTTTACCAAAATCGCTTTGCTTCTACTCATATGCCAAGAGTCGAACCTCCTTTGAAATCAAAAGAAAAAAATCAGTCATGATAAACATCAACATACTCATGTTTTAATGCATTTAAAGTTTAAACAATAGTTGCAACTGTATAATTTTTCGGTGAGACTGAGACCACGGGATATCCTCTCAAGAGGTTCATTCCATTTTGAACCGTAACTCTTATTCGTCAGCAGGAGCACAACACTAAGCGGTCTCCTCATAATAATTGTTTCACTGATTTTTAATTCTATGAAGTCGAAGTTGGTTACTACCTCTATCCATATCCATCTTTTGTGGGTTAGTGCACACTTTTTTCTTTTTCTTCCATTTCACTCTTATGTTATGCAAGTCTTCTACTTTTTTTCCCACAAAATCCTAAAAATGTGATTAAATTTATCATTAACCCTGTAAGCATCTCGCTCTTAATGCATATTCTACTTTATTTATTATTTTATGAAAAAAAAAGCTTTTCAGCCAAAATCTCTCTCTCTCTCTCTCTCTCACACACACACACACATTTTAATTATAAACTTATTCTAAATACAAAATAATTATCTGAACGCATATTCAAAACATAACCATTTTAAGTTTGCACTTGCATTGTAATTACTTTTTTTATTTTTAACTACATCAATTCGTCTGATTTGAATGTTATCGGACTCATACAGATTATCGCTCTAATAATATCATTTTTTTATTCATATTGTTCGAATTGACATTTCTAATTAAAATAAATACATTTTTTTATTACTCAAGTCAATTATTAATATTATATTTGATATATGTTTATTTTTATTTTTATTTCTTGCTACTTTGTGGATAAGTTTGCCACTTGAAGTGATGGATTAGTAAGCAGCACTGACATTAATTCGTGGCTAAAATATCTCGAGAGTTGTAAGGTAACAAAGGTTCAAGCACAATAATCCAATTTCGTCTCGCAAGTTGCATCCTAATTTGTCAACATCTTTTTTGCCTTTTTCATTTTTTTTTTCTCTTAAATTTCTCCTTTTTCTTTTTCCTCAACACTCACCTCAATGAATTGGGTTTTCCCTCAAAGCAAAAAAGCGTGGCGGCGGTGAGGCATAACACACGTGTGTTGCCCAATTGATGGTAAATTCAACGAAGAACACCAAATTGCGAGTTACATGTGCTGCTGAGTGCTTACCCTCCTCATTAAGTCTTATCCCACTTCTGTTTTGTGTGCGTTTTAAGCCGCAATTACAACAGAACCCTCTCTTTTTGTCTCTACCACATCCAAAAAACAGTTAACAGAAAGTGCACTCTTCCATTTCATTAACGGGGTGACTGTTTCTTAATTGCTGCGTCTTTTACGGTGAATTTTATATCATGCTGGATATATCTTTAAAATGATATACAAGAATATCAAAAAGGAAATTCCGGTATGAACACATGATAATGTAGTGAAAAAAACAGAGTAAAAGTGTAATATACAAGACACTTTGTGTTTAACCATTGTCCGAAAATTCTATAGTTTTACAAAATTTAACATGGTGTAAGTTTTGTAAAAAATAATAGAACTCTTGTTGATAACCTCATTAAAAGAACATAATAAAACATGCTAACTTTATGATCATCGATATATTTGGTATAATTTCTTACATAATTGATGTGATCTTCAGTGTTTAAAATTTAGAAAACTATAAGGATACAGTAGAAAGCGTATTTACAAACGTTTTACCAAGTGTAAATTATACTGTTAAAGTTACTGCAAAGGTTAAAACATCAAAGGAGAAGGGTGGTCTCTTGGATCAATATACGATAATCTAATTTCATTGTATTTTTGTTCGTTCAACCTTATCTTCTTTTTTATTCTAATTTTCCTTTTCTTGATTTCCCAACCCAGATCTTCCACATTACTAAAGGCAGCATCGCGTGTGGACACTGTGCGTCATGGAAGTGGATCCTCTCATAAGAAAAATATATAATTTTTATGAGAGATTGTGATCAAATAATACGAGGATCCACTCTTGTGGATCATATATCTCGTTTCGCACCACCCACTCAATCCTACAATCCACCCAATTTATTGTCCCATGCCTAAGGTTCCAACCATCAGTCCACGCGATCTCCATGCTTGATTACTTTATTTACTCTATCATGCCTCGTCTAGTGGCTCAGTTGCAAACATTTTTTCAATTATTTAATTTTGTCTTTCTAATCTTTTTTTTTTTTTTTCCCCTTGACATAGTAGCCCGTTTTTGTCACATGCAGTAAAAGGGAACCAACATAAATAACCAATCGAAAAGCATAGTATATATTGAAATATATTATTGATAATAAACAATATGATTTGAAAATTTTACAACATAGGCTGTAAATGCAGAATATTCCTCTTATCCTATCCAACTTTTTCAACCCATACCCATACCGACAACTCCAACCACCACGGTTGCGGTTGTGGTTAAACTTATCACACTCACGCCGCCACACCAACCTGTTCCTCTCTCCCAACTTCCACATTTCCCGATTTAACCCTTCATTTCTTGCTGTTTCTGAACCAGAATATTCCAAACGAGTCCCTAACTCTATTCCCTCTTCTACCCTCAATACATTCTCAAATTCCCAACCTGCCCCTCCTTCTTCGTCTCCACACCCACCATCACACGCTTTTGTTTCTGTTGTTGTCGTTGCTTCTGCGTCGGACGCAATTGCCCTCACCTCTACCCAACCCTCCGTTTCCCAATTTGCCCTCGATTCTGTTGCTAATTTACCAATCCTATTTCTCACTGAAATTTTTTCACTATCGTCCAACATCATCTCTTCTTCTTCTTCTTCTTCACCGTCGTTAACTGACTCGGCGAATTGTGAGTCAACCCAGTCCAGAACGCACCGAGGGGACGATTCAACAACCTTATTGTGAAGCAAAAATGGATGCTGTAGCAGCTGATCACAGCTCCACCGCCGGCTCGGTTCCCTCCTCAGACACTTCTCGACGAAATCGCGGCCTAGCTCCGACAACTTGCTCGGAATCTCCGGCAACTCACCGGAATACCCGATTCGACTCAGCGTGTCAACGCCGCGATCCTCCCACCCCGGTTTTCCGGTGATCATCTCGATCACCGTGCATCCAAGTGACCACACGTCGGACTCCGGCCCCTGATACTCCCGGCGAATCACCTCCGGCGCCATCCACATCGGGCTTCCACGCGGTAAGATCCCCGCAGGACAATCCCTGCCGGAGAATTCCACCGCCGATCCGAAGTCGGCGAGCTTGGCGACTTCGCCGTCGCCGGAGACGAGCACGTTCCTCCCTTTCACGTCGCAGTGCACGACGCCACGCTCGTGAACGTGACGCAGCGCGCTCACCAAGCACCAAGCGTAGCGCCTCACCAACCGTTCGTCCACGTCAGCATCAGCGTCCATGTCAGCGACGGTTCCACCTGGCATGTACTCCAAGTGCAGGTTCCGGAACGACGACGTTGAGCCTTCCTCGCACGTGGCATCATCGCCGAGAAAGGACACCACGTGAGGCGAAGACATACGCCGGAGGATACGAATCTCGTTCTCCAACGCCTCCAGCTGACCCGGGAGACCCGTTTTGCGATCCACGGACTTCACCGCAAAAACCCGACCGTCCGGTTTGGAAACAGCTATATTTACGATTCCGAACGCACCCTTTCCAACGCACTTGCCTCTAACCCACGAAGCCATTGCACTGTTTCAGCTCAACTGCACTTCACGTAGTTCAAACTTCAAATTCTGTTTTGTGTGTAATTGAACATGTGTGTGTTTTTTCCTTGAGGACCCAAATGGTGTGTGTGTATGTGTATATATATATATAGTGCGTGTTTGTTCTGGCACTCGGTGTTTCGTGTTTTCCTAAAATTTTTAATGTTTTTATGGTACAGCGTGGAATTTGTGAAAGTGGATAATTAAGAAAAGCGGTGGTGACGTTGAGGTTTTAGCTCTTAGAAGGTGGTAATGTTTTTGACGGAAATGGAGAATTGTGGGAATGAAATACTGGATACTGTTCTTTTCTTATGGTTTGGGGTTTTTAATCCTTATCCAGATTGATTTTCCCTTCTCATTTTAACCTTTTTTTTATGTCACCATTAAACATTAATTACACGTGGGTATTATTCATAATTTAGATTTAAGCAACAATATGGGTATCATTATTTTATTCGATTTTTATTACCTTGCAGGTTTCATTTTTTTAGTTATATTTTGTCGTGTTGCGGATGAATATTAATTTGGACATGTGGTTGTAATGGGGAAAGTGGGCTTTTCTGGTTGGAGAGGTGGATGCTAATAGTTGGCTGAGGGGAACATGACGCCGTGGCGGTAGGGGGAGAGTAAAATAGGAAGTGGGTTGAGAAAGTCCCACGTGGCACAAATTTGTTGGTCCACGAAGTGTTGAATACATTACTAGAGGCTGGTAAAGGTCTCAACGAGATGCGAAGATGTCTCGAGATATAGCCATGATGTTTGTAATTGTGTGTGGCTTTGGCCTTAGTGTTCTAGTTAAACCAAGTGTATGTGACGTGTACCACCACGCTTCCATTAGATATCATATTATTATGTCGATTTTTTATTCTTATTTTCATTTTGGTTGTAATTTTGGGAATTTTGTTTGCATGTGAATTGGACTTGGGTATGGTCCCAAATTAAGTCGTATCGTATCTGTTAGAAGAAGATGAGGAACGAGTTTGTGGGATGTTCCCTCTTTTGTACTGGAGAGTGGAGATATTAGTTAGGACAATTTGGCACGCGGTTCTTCACTTCCTCATTAAGCATGTGGCATCTGGTACTACCGTATTAGACCTGGGTTCTATAGATAAGATTTTACCTTAAATTGCTTTGCGTGGTTCAGCCTAAATTATACAAAAGAAAATTCACCGAATTCCAAGTTCAAATAAGTGCAATACTTCACCCTAAACGGCAAAATGGTGCATTTTCCAACTCCTAAATTTTTTTTATCTGTTCTTTCCTTTCTTTTGGCAAATTATTTTAATTAAAAAAGTAATTATGGAAATAGGTACGATTAGATGATTGAAATAGGGGGAAAAGATAATATTTTTTATTTTTTAAAATATTAGTATTTTATTTTTTTGGTCTCGTGTACGCAAAATTTAAAATTCAGTATGCTTTTCTCCCTTACTGTTGTGCCACTTGTCAGCGTGTGAAAGCTTGGGAGGAGCATTAGAATTGCATTGATCGAATGGGAATTTTAAAAAATGGACAAAGCGTTACGGAGAGGGAAATGGAAACGAAGGAAAGGGTTTTGTCCACACAAGCATGACTTTTGGCATGAAACTAGCTATGTAGAAGAAATTAAAAAAAGAAAAGAAAAAAAGGGTTGAAAGGGAAACCCGGGATTCAATTTCAACACGATTATTCAATTAATTTTCCCCTGAATTATTTTCAAAACCTTTTTAAAAACAACAAGTAGAATCAAATTGGATTTCAAGAACCTTGCCATTTGGCGTGCCAATGGGTGTCCACCACCACCATAAGTAACCCAACACGGTGATGGTGACTGGTCTCTATGTGGCAAAATTGCGAGGAAGGATAGAGTGACGCGTAGACATGGTTTCTTAGTAGGTTCGATTTTGATCCTTTCACACAAAGACACGAAGCATAGAATATATTAATGTGGGTAAGCTTACTCGGTGAACTACTTGCTTTGGATAAGGTGGTAGTTATTTATGAGGGTTAAGCAACGTGCTTCGTGACTTGACTTGCATATTGCCGCAAAGCCATCGCGTCCACATCTTTTTCAAACCAAATTGACCATAAAATTTTGTAATTCTACTATACTACAGTAGTTGAAAGCGGGTAAAGAGAGCACAGAGATATATAAGATTATTAATTAATACAATCTTATTTAATAATTAAATTTTTTGGATTGAAATAATTTTTTACATAATTAAAGATATATAAAATTATTAATGTAACCTCATCTAAAATTCTTTGTTGGCAAAGTTTTAAAAAGTTTTACTATGTTGAAGATATTTGAACGAAAAGTGTAAAATTTGAGTCTCTATGCAGTCAAGTTATTTTCAAATTAATGTTTAATGCAAATTATATCTCTGAAGAATAAATTAAACATAATTGTTTTGTTGGATTTGAAATCACTATTTATAATCTTTACTAAGAAAATCATTATTTATAATTGACTTTGATTCATATGATTTGAATATAATCATTAAAAAATAATATATGCAAATAAGTTGAAAATAAATTAAGTTACGTTGACCATCGGATATTACACTAATATAAAACCAATGCAGACCTTTTTTGTTTTAAAAAATTATACTAGCCTCGAGTATACTGTCAAAACCAATATAATATAATATAATATATATTTTGTTTAAAAAAAATACAGATACTCTTTACCCCTGTGTAATTTTTTTCTAGATACTAAATACCTTAATAAATAAACTACAAGGAAGGTTTCTACTTTCTACATGTTAGAAATAATATTGTATTATTATTTTTATTAGTTAAATTATTCTAGAATACTTTAGAAGTTTTTTTGAGCTTAGCTCATTAGTTCTTTTAGTCTTTTTAAATAGAGAGTCCTTGTACAGTTATTCATACAATACAATTCATTTTAATATAATATATTTCTATTCTCAATTTGGTGCTAGAGCTTGTGTTATGAGAAATTTAGTTTCCGCAGAAAACCCTTGTTGAGCATCATTCGACAAGTCATCTGTGTCGTGCATCATACCAGCAACCTATTTTCAGTACATAACCCTCAGTTGGTCACCAACCACTTATCCTCAACCTCAGATCGTCTGAAAAACCATTGTCGAATCGTTCATCATCAGAAACCACCGTCCGCCACTGTTCATTGCCCTCGAAGCACTTTTTCGGCGAGTTTTTCGGCAAACAGCTACGTGACCAAGACCGGCTCGAGGAAGCGACCTCATCTGCCCAAGTCACGTCATCACCGGAGCATCCATGCGTCGGTGGAAGATTCTCAAATACATATCATATAGTACATATATGCATGATCATAACATATCATGCTCTCAAAACTCTACAGTCATCCACTGCTTATAACACAAAACATATACATATATGTACAATCTTCAAAATCTCAGATTAGCAAATTGATCCTGTTGTATTTGCTAACCATCTTGAACATGTTTCTTACCTTTTGAAGACTCACTAGCAAATGGATCACCTGAAAAAATGATCCCAAACGGGATAAGATATAAAATCTTAATAAACTCAGAGTTTATGGAGAGGTTCTCCGCCTATGAGTTCATTTCCTGCATGAAAGATCAAAACACATAACATAGCAGAAAACATATATCTTAATTCACTCAAATCCTAAATACTAAACATAATACAAACACATCCTGAATACGTAACTTAATATGCACAAAATCCTGAACCATGTACGGGTTATCCTAACGGGTTTATACCTTAAGGATAATCTCACAAGAAATAACCATTATCAAATCAATTGTTCTAAGCATCATATAATACTTAACAAAACTTCCAATTCATTTCCTCACCATATAACTTAACTTATACATATCTCAATCTTCTACAGGTTATCTTATGGAATAATAACCTGAAACTAAACCTCAGACATCACATTACTTCCAAATACTAAATCCTAAACAATTCTTGGCGGATTCATCACATAATCTCTCATCACACCAAATCACATAGTCTAATCATACTTCCTGGTCAAATATATTGTCAGACATCAAATCCTGATACTAGTCAAATATCCAAATCATCATATCAGTTCCTAATACCAAACAAACATCTAATCATCATATCAAATACTGATACCCAGTTAGATATTCAGTCATCACATCAAGTACTGAAACCCAGTCAAATATCCAGATCCGTACATAATGATACATAATATAAATGATATCATATAAACATAATTAAGAATATGACATCTTGTAACATAAGTTCTTACCGAGCAACCAGAGCCAATCGAGGACCGGAGCACTCATGGAAGATAACAAAGATGTTCATTGGCCAAGAACCACACACACACACACACACACATATATATCATACTGAATCAGAAAAGTCATATTCATAAATCGGATCATCAGGGTATATATATACATATACATATCTGTATATAATAATATAATGTGTTTCTCACACGTAAGGTATTCCCCACAATAGCAATAGTGGCATGTATATATATATATATATATATATATATATATATATACACCTCAATATTGTTGGACAATTGACTTTAATACTCAAAAAGGGGGATTAATTGAGTTTTATGAAATCTTTTCACAAAATACCTCATTTGATATTTTAAAGAATATTTCTCCAATTAAATGATTTAACAAGGAATATTCTAAGTGTAAGTACTAGTGTGTGATCAATAAATACAATCTAGTGAATAAATAAACACAATCTAAAATTGTAATTTGAAGACAGAAGTAAAAAGTTCAAGGTTAGAGAAATTGCAAACTAGATGTATCCTGGTTCGGTCACCACAACTGTGATCTACGTCCAGACTAAAGCCGCTCGATTAATCTTTTTCACTAACTATCAAGCTTCAATGGTGCTTGATAAATCACTACAATCTTCCAAGACTTCGAACTCTTGGATGCCTTTACGCTTTACACCAAATTTACTTTGGAATTTGGTAACCTCTCAAATACAAAGGGTTTCACTCTCCTTTCTTTTCAAGAAATCGAATGGAGGTGTTTAACAACGGCTAAGTACTCAACGTACAGATTATACAAGTTGAAGAACTAATAGGTGTATAACTTTAAATGAACGATGAGCTCAAGAATATGTAATGATCAAAGTAAGTAATCAATGAGCAATAATGAGTTGAAAGGAGTAATAATGGTTCAATAATTGATGTATGGTCATTCAACATTGATTACTGTAGCAACAAGTATATATAATAGCATCTCCAACAAAAACTAGTCGTTTATAGCCGTTGGGGTCCATATATA